TTTCATATCTCAATTCTACACTTCAACAATAACTATTATCCAAATTTTAGGTTTCCAGATCTCTCCGTTCACTCAAACCCAAATTGTACCAAATCTAGTTCCATTTAGTACTTTTCGTACACAGAACTATGAATTCCCAAAGCTGTCGTTATAGTACAATCCTCAACAGTAATTTTAATTCCAAATTTCAGGTTTTCAGCTCTCTACGTTCACCCGAAATCCAAATTGTACTAAATTTAGTAACATTTAGTACTTTCGTACGCATAAGTACGAATTTCCTAAACTCATCAATCCTACAATCCAACTTTCATTTTAATTCCCAATGTCAAGACTCCAGCTCTATTTGTTCACCTAAATCCAACTTGAACCAAATTTTGTACTTTTAGTCCTCTATTCCAAAACTAATCCTAATTCCTCTTTTCAGGACTCCATCTCTATACTCTCAAATAAATGCAAATAGTATCAAATTTAGTACTTATCATACACATAGGTACTCAATATTTCATACTTCTAGCTTCAGCCGTTTCGTCTGGGCGATGATCTCACAGTCACTCACTTATCACTAAGCTCCTTTATATATTAAGGTTATATACGGCATTCTCGAATTAATTTATTACCGAGAAATGACCCTTAAACCGGGGTCAATGACCTTTAATCCGGATTAAGCCTTAATCCCCTCAATGACCCCTAATTCTGAGTCAATGACCTTTAATCCGGGGTTAATAACCCTTAATCCCATCAGTGACCCTTAATCCGGATTAAGGCTTAATCACCTCAGTGACCCTTAATCCGGGGTCAATGACCTTTAATCCGGGGTCAATGACCCTTAATCCGGGGTCAATGACCTTTAATCCAGATTAACCCTTAATCCCCTCAGTGACCCTTAATCCGGGGTCAATGACCTTTAATCCGGGGTCAAGGCCCCTAATCGCCTTAGTGACCCTTAATCCCCTCAGTGACCCATAGTCCGGGGACAATGACCTTAATCCGGATTAGGGGTCATTGACCCCGGATTAAGGGTCATTGACCCCGGATTAAAAGTCATTCACCCTGGATTAAGGATTAATCTGGATTAAAGGTCATTGACCCGGATTAAGGGTCACTGAGGGGATTAAGACTTAATCCGGATTAAGGGTCATTGACCCCGGATTAAGGTCATTGAGGGGATTATGGCTTAATCCGGATTAAGGGTCACAAAGGGGATTAAGGTCATTGACCCCGGATTAAGGGTCACTGAGGGGATTAAGGTCATTGACCCCGGATTAAGGTCATAGAGGGGATTATGGCTTAATTCGGATTAAGGGTCATTGACCCCGGATTAAAGGTCATTGAAGCCGGATTAAAGGTCATTGACCCCGGATTAAGGGTCACTGACCCCGGATTAAGGGTCGCTGAGGGGATTAAGGTTTAATCCGGATTAAAGGTCATTGACCCGTGATTAAGGGTCTCTGAGGGGATTAAGGGTTGTTGAGGTGATTAAGGCTTAATCCGGATTAAGAGTCATTGACCCCGGATTAAAGGTCATTGACCCCGGATTAAGGGTCATTGACCCCGGATTAGGGGTCACTGAAGAGATTAAAGCTTAATCCGGATTAAGGGTCATTGACCCCGGATTAAGGTCATTGAGGGGATTAAGGCTTAAGCCGGATTAACGGTCACTGAGGGGATTAATGGTTATTAACCCCGGATTAAAGGTCATTGACTCAGGATTAAGGGTCATTGAGGTGATTAAGGCTTAATCCGGATTAAACGTCATAAACCCCGGATTAAGGGTCATTGAGGGGATTAAGGGTCATTGCTTGTTAATAAGTTAAATCGAGAATGCCTTATATGACCTTAATATATAAAGGAGCTTAGTGATAAGCGAGTGAGTGACTGTGGGATCATCGCCCAGACGAAGCGGCTGAAGCTAGAAGCATGAACTTCTGAGCACTTATGTGTATGATAAGTACTAAATTTGGTACTATTTATTTAAGCGTATAGAGATGGAGTCCTGAAAATATGAATTAGGATTACTTTTGGAGTAGAGGACTAAAATATGGAAATATGGAAACAAAACAAAAATAGTCTGAATCGAGTGTACTATGAAATATTGACAGAAACGAAGAGAAAATGTTTCTGAAAAAATATATAAGAAATTTAGGTTAAATTTAAATATATAAAAATTAAGAATCTCGGTTAAAATAGGTAAGCTTAACTGAATATATAATTATTTGTATCATTTCTTAAATGCTTTCTTTTACTCTTAGGATGGGGCAAATAAATGAAAATTGGTGAAATATTGTAAGTAATATCTGAAAGATGTTTCATATTTTAAAGCGTTTTAATGTTGTTGTTTCTTTACAGATGATGTTAAAATGGAGAAAATCATCTCGACAACTTATCATGCAATGTTTTTATTTATATTATTATAAACGTAAATGCAATGTATAATTCTTGTTATATAATAAATTACATGCTATAAAAATATAAATTGCATATTTTTATTTGAATTTTTAATGGGGTATGATTGATGACAATGGGTACACAGTCGTTAACGACTGTGTAAACGACATAGTCGATGATAGTCGTCAACGAAAAGTAGGGAGTTTTGTCGCCGAAGTTGTCGTCAACGACAACTTCGCTTACCTTGTCGCCCAAGTTGTCTTGCATGAATACTGCGACACTTGTGTGAAAATTTCGTCAAGGATCTCACATTGTTGTCTGCAAAGTGTCTTCAAGGAATTGTCATTGTCTTGCACGATTCGTTAATGTTGTCTGCAAGACACTTTCTACTGGGAAGGCATGTTCAACATTGAACAGAAATTAAATTGTTGTTGTTATAGAAATTAAATTGTCATGCTGAAAATAAGTTTTTGACAAAAATAAAAAAACAATTATTAATTTATTTTTGTCAAGAACTATTCTTTGAGGAATAATTAATTATTTTGTGTATTCTTGGGCTATTGGCGTTTTTAGGTCAATGAAAAATAAAGTTTAAGACCTGGTCGCGATTAATTTTAAGTTTCCCACATGCAGCCCATGGCTCCTTGTGATGTTGTTTATATCGTGAATTACAATCTATTTTTTCTATGGAGTGGCTTCAATCTTGCCTTCATAATGACAATTTTATGTCCTTCAATTTCAATCGCCGGCGAAAGACTAAATCATGGAAATTGTGTTAACCGTATAAAATCTTTCTATAGGCGTATTTAACCTACGCCGAGGATTGTGACAAGCACCAAGGGGCCGATTCCAATATAGGCTAACATAAAATATGTGGACCAATCGGCGAACGGTCTTATAACTGATTTAAGCATAGGTTTCCTTTCCGTCCGCCTCTATTAATGTAGTTTTCATTAATTTTTATTATTAAAAAAAACCATATTTGAATTCGAAATGTAATATTGAACATATTTTTGACAATTTACTTTACAAACAATAAACAAAAAAGTTTGAAACCATATGATTGCCACTTACACCTTATTAAATACGCCTTGGTACACATTTTTAAAACACCAACCGAACTATTTGCTTTTAAAATTTTGTCAAATAAAAATTACAACACAAATTATGGAAAAAATTCAAATTTGCATTATCGGTTCGGGTAATTTGTACGTTAGATTCCAATATACAATTTTTCAACAAAGCCCCATTTAAGAATTCCCATTACTTTTTTATTTCAAAAAGGGGCACCGCTTTAGGCAAAATAGTGGCTGAAAATGCAGCCGCATTACTGGATGTTGAAGACCGTGTAAATATGTTTGTCTACGATGAACTTTTCGATGGTGTCCGACTCAGTGAATTGATCAATAGTAATCACATCAATGAGAAATATTTACCGCAACTCCAGTTGCCCGAGAATCTGGTGGCCTGTACAGATTTGGTGGAGACAGCCAAATATGCCGACATTATTGTTTTTGTAATGCCAAAACAATTTATTGAGGACTTTTGTAAAACTCTTCTGGGCAAAATTAAACCAAATGCCATGGCCATTTCGGTTATCAAAGGTTTCGTGGTAAATGCCGCCGATGGAGATACCAATGGGACAAATGGTGGTGGTGGTAATGGAGGTATTCAATTGATTTCACAAACCATTATGAAATATTTGAAGGTAAAAACTCGAAGAGGAGGAAGTTTTATTTTGTTTATGTTTTCTTTTTGTTCGGTTTGTTTACTTGGAATTTGCATTCGGCGATTTTATTTTTGTGGAAAAAGATCCCCTGTGCCGTGTTGATGGGTGTAAATTTGGCAAGTGAATTGACACTGAATCGCTATTGTGAGGCCACTTTGGGTTGTCGAGATATGAAAAATTCGAAGCTGCTGAAGGATCTCTTTAGCACACCAAAGTTTCGTGTAACTGTTATTGATGATGCTGATTGTGTTGAAGTTTGTGGTTATTTAAAGGTTTGCCTTCCCCTTTTTACTTTTCTTTTTCTCAAAACAGAAAATGTCAAATGTAATGGACATCTTTAATTATTCCCTTTTCATTTTTTTTTTGCAGCATCTAATTGCCTTTGCTTCGGGTATTTTGGATGGCCTGGAGTCCAATGAAAATACCAAATCTGCCTGCATCAGATTCTGTCTCATTGAAATGTTACGCTTCATCGATGTCTTCTATCCGGGCTGTAAATTGTCAACTTTATTTGAAAGCTGTGGCATTGCCGATGTGTTGACAGTTTGTGCGGGTAGTCGCAACAGACGTTTAGCCGAAGTATTTGTTAAATCGGAAAAGAGTATTGAACAGCTGGAAATAACGCTAATGGGTGGTGAAAAGGCACTGGGTCCCGAAACAGCAAAGGCAGTTTATTATATGTTGCAGCAGAAGGGACTTCCGGCAAGGTAAGACAATTTGTATTTTAAGTATTTTTATTGAATGGAAAAACTTTTATGCTTAACAGACGACTCCGACTATTCGAAGTCAGGGGGTAAATCAGGCATTGAAAATATTGGGAGATCTATGGTGGCAATTTCGTTGTTCTCCATATTTTTTCACAGTGACTGAAGTGGTGGCAGTGTACCAATGTATCCCATCTTTGGACTTGATAAAGATAATAGGTTTTTTATAATAGGTGATATTATAAAATAAATTTTCAGCAAAAATTTGGACAGTTTTGGGTAGGAGGGCGGTGGATGAGGACCCCAAAATGAGTGGACCGATATCTCACGTCTTCGAACTTGAATTAAATTTTGAAAAAATATTGCGATGTGCAAAATTTGAATAAAACAAGTGAAAAAGCGTTAAGTTCGGCCGCGCCGAACTTTGGATACCCTCCACCAAAGATATACTGGCAGGTTCTTGAAATGAAAATATAGGGAACATACCAAAAAATGGACCATTTCTACAAAACGATTATGTAAACTATAATTTTTAATAGAAAATAATACCCTCAGCAATATGGCTAATTAGTGTGTATACACTTTCACACGGTGAAAATGTGCCTCATCTAAATATTGGTTCTAGACGCCATGTTTCTTTGGCCCAAATCCGTTTCGCAAAAATTTGATTTCATCCCGTCTTATTATGTCTTTCAAACATAGTTCAAGTCCGAATTTGGGGAATATCGGTCCATGCCTTCTGGTACATTCCACACAGGGGCTACGGCTAAGCCTAAATGCGGGCTAGTTCTAGTTTTTTATCTCGATATCCTTCACAGGTGAAACCCAAAACGCGGAAAAATCAGATAATTATATTAATATAAAAAATGGGGAACTACGCCTAAAAGGGGTTGACTATTAATAATTTTTGGTAGGGAGATTTGTTTCCATATACGGCTACAAAATACCAAATTTCAGTGATTTCGGTTGAAAAACGCGCTCAAAAACCTAAAAATGCCGAAATTTGGGGGTACCCTTTTACCAGAAAAAATGGGCTACCAGAAAAAATGGCCCTATATTCATAATTTTTTGTGGAGTGATTTGGAACCTATTAAGAACTCAAAGCACTAAATTACAGCCAATTCGGTGGAAAAATACGACCAAAACCCCCAAAATACTGAAAATTAGGATGTACCCTTATATGGGGGCTACCAGAAAAAGTGGACCTATATTTATAATTTTTTGTGGAGACATTAAGTACCCAATAAGAACCTAATGTACAAAATTTCAGCGAATTTGGTTGAACCCCAAAATACCGTAAATTGGAGGGTACCCTTATATGGGAGCTATGCCTAAACGTAGACAAAAGACAACCCTATGGAAAATTTCAGCACCCTATCTCAATTCCTTCGGAAGATAGGGTGATTACAACAGACGGACAGACGGACGGACATGGCTAGATCGTCTTAGAATTTTACCCTGATCAAGAATATATATACTTTATAGGGTCGGAAATGAATATTTCGATGAGTTACAAACGGAATGACAAAATTAATATACCCCCCATACTATGGTGGAGGGTATAATCAGTTGATGAAATTTTACCCTTTGTTGTTGAGTTGTGCAAAGTTAAGTTCAAATAGAATAGTCCGTTCGCATCATATTAAAAAATAATTTTAAGAGAAATTTTGACCATGTTGTGTGGGAGCTACCAGAAGGAGTGAACCTATACATTTTCGAACTTGATCTAAGAATGGAATGAACATTATGATGTTCAAATGAAATCGCTTACTTCTTTCGAGATTTATCGTGCGCACCAGGCGACCAGACAGACGGACGGATATTTGTAAATCGTTTCCAAACTGTGTAAAACGTATTTGGTACAAAGAAACATGATACTTCGATGAGACACATTTTTGCCGCTCATAACTTTTTTGATAGGGCCCTCAAAGACATGAAATCGGTATTCGAATTTATGCCCTGCACAACTGTGATGTAGGTAGTATAGCTTTGTGTTGTCCCATGATTTTGTAACATCACTAAATATTGGTCCTAGACGCACCTTTTCGTATACCGAATGTCATATCTCGACTAGCTGAGTCAATCAATTATGTGTATCCGTCCGTCCATTATAATTTGTAAACACGGAACGGATCACAGTTTTAGACCAAAAGTCACGAAATATTGTGTGACGGGTTCTAGCCAAAGAAGACCCCTATTTTTATGGCAATGATCCCTTAATATTTAGGGGATGAAATGGACTCATCTCGAAAGAGAAATAAAGAAAAACATTATTTTGTCTGTTTTTCTGGTCGCTCTAAAAACGATCATCACGAATTTTTGCACAGAGAAAGTTTAGACGACCATAAAATAAGCATGACTGATTTAATGTGGCCCCATGAATTTGTAACACCACTAAATATTGGTCCTAGACCCACCTTTTCGTATACCGAATCTAATATCTCGACTAGCTGAGTCAACCAAACATGTTTGTCCATCCGTCCATTATAATTTGTAAACACGGTACGGTTCACAATTATGGACCAAAAGTCACGAAGTATTGTGTGAAGGGTTCTAGCCGAATATATCAATGATCCTTTAATATTAGGGGATGAAATGGGCTCATCTCGAAAGAGAAATAACGAAAAACATTATTTTTGTCTGTTCTTCTGATCGCTCTACACACGAACATTACAAATTTTTGCTCAGAGAAAGGTCAGACGACCATCGAATAAGCATGACTGATTTAATGAATAGTGGTCAATATTTAGAGAATAAAATGGGCCTAGATTTGTGTGGGAAAAATTACAAAATTTGTATTAAATGACTTATATATTTATTCTTGAAGGACATTGACCAGAGAAGTTGATAGTATATCCCAGAGGAGTGGTTGGCCTTTAAGTTGATACCAATTATATTGTTGTATGTGCTCGGATATGGGCAATTTTTAATGATCAAGGACGCCGCTTATAATTTTCAGCAAAGATCACATGATAATTGGCGGGTAAAATGTGCCGAAAACTTCATTTTGTGTGTTTTCTCATTTAAGTCGAAACAACGCAACACACGAGGGAGGGAATCTGGCCAACTGTTTTGCTAATGATCGGTCCATATTTTGCGGCTCAAATTAACCAAAGCTTTACTATATAAAATGCCCCGGAAAACTAGGTTCGGAAAAGATGCCAGGTTAAGAAAAAGGAGCTGTTGACCCCTAATCCGTCAAATATTGCGAAATAATGCCTAGGCTCCGAATATGCAGGGTGGCGCAAAAAAGACTGAAGGATTAAAAATGACTGTACTTTTGTTTTTTTTTTTTTTATTGATTTTTTTATGTTTATACCCTTCACCACACTGTGGTACAGGGTATTATGTCTTTGTGCATATGTTTGTAACATGCAAAAATAATCGAGATAGACCCATGGTTCCTTTTGAGAATATACATAGAATCACTTTCTAAGTCGATTTATGCATGTCCGTCCGTCGTCTGTACGTCCGTCTGTCTGTCCATGTTAAATTGTAAACAAAGTACAGGTCGCATTTATGATCCGAATTGGATGAAATTTGGCATAGGTCACTTATTCGGCCCAAGGACGAACCCTATTGAAATTGGGAAAAATCGGTTCAGATTTAGATATAGCTCCCATATATATATTTAACCGTTTTAATGTAAACGCTCCCTATATATCTCTCGATTTGCACGAAATTTGGTACAGCGTAATCATTTAGGCCTAGAATGATGTCTGCCAAGTTTCGTAAAAATCGGTCCAGATTTAGATATAGCTCCCATATATAGTTTCGTCCGATTTCATATGAATGGTGCCCCAAAGTCCCTATATATCTTTTGATTTCCACGAAATTTGGCATAACGTACTGAATTGAGCCTAGAATGATGTCTGCCAACTTTGGAGAAAATCGGTCCACATTTAGATATAGCTCCCATATATAGTTCCGTCCGATTTCATGTAAATGGTGCCCCAAAGTCCCTATATATCTTTTGATATGCACAAAATTTGGCATAACGTACTGAATTGAGCCAAGAATGATGTCTGCCAACTTTCGAGAAAATCGGTCCAGATTTAGATATAGCTCCCATATATAGTTTCGCCGATTTCATGTAAATGGTGCCCCAAAGTCCCTATATATCTTGCGATTTGCAAGAAATTTGGCATAACGTACTGAATTGAGCCTAGAGTGATGTCTGCCAACTTTCGAGAAAATCGGTCCAGATTTAGATATAGCTCCCATATATAGTTTCGTCCGATTTCATGTAAATGGTGGCCCAAAGTTCCTATATATCTTTTGATTTGCACGAAATTTGGCATAACGTACTGAATTGACCCTGGAGTGATGTCTGCCAAGTTTCGAGAAAATCGGTCCAGATTTAGATATAGCTCCCATATATAGTTTCGTCCGATTTCATGTATATGGTGTGGCAAAGACTCTATATATCTTTCGATTTGCACGAAATTTAGCATAACGCACTGAATTGAGCCTATAATGATGTCTGCCAAGTTTCGTGAAAATCGGTTTTGATTTAGATATATCTCCCATATATAGTTTCGCCCGATTTCATGTAAATGGTGCCACAAAGTCCCTATATATCTTTCGATTTGCACGAAATTTGGTACAGCCTAATCATTTAGGTCTAGAATGATGTCTGCCAAGTTTCGTGAAAATCGGTCCAGATTTAGATAGATATAGCCCCTTTTATTATAGATTGATTTCAAGTAAATTGGGCATCAAACTCCTCATGTTAGTCAGATTGACATCAAAGTTTGCACATCGTACAAAATTGAGCATAAAATTATATAGTTGCGTTTTCTAGAAGTACAGACATAGCCCAACGGATGACCTATTTATATTTGTTTGAAGTCGATTTACATGCTTTATGGATAGATCTAGGTAGATTCACATTTAGATAAATATCACATATTTTATTTCATCCAATTTCATGCTAATAGTCCTGTTTTATATACCCATAGTGGTGAAGGGTATCATATAGTCGGCCCTGTCCGACTTTACTA